GAAAGCAACTCACATAAATATTTCCCTTCAAATCATTTATTCATTCATTACCTCTGTCATCATATGGCCAGAGTCAAACACTCAGTAGTTCTAGTTACTCTGAATCCAAGCCCACATAATGACCACTTCCTGCAGTCACAGAAAAACTTGAAGAGTGAATTCCAACACAGTACACACTGGTTTAACAAACACCACTGGTGGTGGCTCCTATCCAGCTCAAATAAACAGCACCATGATTTCAGAACTGTGTAACTCCTAGAGTACCAAGTGAGGGTTTTAGTGTTAGAATACATACAGTATGAAAGATAGGTAGATTTGATAATGTCTATAGATAATCTGTCATTTACCAAGATAAATTAAGTATTCCTGCTTGTCAAATAGGACAAATAAAAAATATAAAGACATTACCATGGGCTCTGGGAAATTGTGATGGGAATTTTTCACAATTTCCTGATGTTCTATGGACTAAATAATTAATTCATTAATAACAATTAAGCAACTCTCATTATTGCTCTCTTTTTGTGTTTGACATAATTTTATTTTACCCACAGTCTCTTATTTAACTATTCTATTAATCAACAATACTGAAAATATCCATCTCGGAAAAGAATGTGTTCCTGCTCTTCAAGTAAAAAGATGGCTGGCTGGATGGCTGAGAGAAAAACTCAATCCCGCCTCCTGCTGAGGGAGAGACGAGCGCTGGCTGTCGACAGGCATACCACCTGACTACCACACAGCAACTGATTTGAAACGACAAGTCAAGAGAAGTCAGGAGTAAATAAGGGAGATATATAGAGTGAAAAATAGAGGGAAAGAGAGAGAGAGGGGTAATAGATTTGAGAGTGTTTTTGGGGAGTAAACAGATGGAGTAAACACAGCACGAGGGAAACCAGGGGGACTCCCACCGAACCCGCTCAATGTGTCACTGACACTGCAGAGCAGAATCAACAAAGTGCTCTGAGGGCAACATCCACACATACATACGCACACACCCACGCAATCACACACAGTTCACCAATTGGCAGGATGCTGGGACCCAGAGCTCCTATCCAGAGCAGTGACAGGCACATGGAGAACAAGCTGGCTGACAGCACATGACAACTCCTCAGCTAGTGGAAAAAGAGAAAGGCATCTCCTACTCTACTTTCTAACTGTGGCTTTAACAAGTGGCCTGAATATGTGGTGGTGAAAATACAGTAACACTAATATATTCAAGATTTTTAGTATTGTATTAGGGCATAGCTGAAATGTACCTCCTCTCATCTCCTGATCATGATCTAAACCTCATCTTAGCACCCATCTGTACTGCTCCTCTCTCTCCAATTTCTTCCATGCCCCCAGACCTGCTTGCACGCCCAAACTCTGCTGCTGTGTGCCAGCGTACCAACAGGCCTGTAGGCCTGTCCAAGAGAGAGATAGAGAGGAAGAGAGAAAGAGGGAAGGTAGCCAATTAAGATTGGGTAATGGGAGAGTGAATGTGAGAATGTGAGAATGTGAGAGTGTGTGTGTGTGTGTGTGTGTGTGTGTGTGTGTGTGTGTGTGTGTGTGTGTGTGTGTGTGTGTGTTCATGGGTGAATGCCTGATTTCAAGCGGCTGTAACTGCACTTACACTTGTGTGTGCATGTGTGTATGTGTGTGGTGCCACAGGCTGTGCACACAGCCAAACTTAATTTAGCAGGCCCAGGTTTTTAACACAGGCCTGAAGCTAGCCAGCAAGCTATAGCTGGACCAGAGAGCCAGAAGTTAACAGGCACATTGCTCTCCTAAACCCCCTGAGATCTCCTTCCCACCCCGAGGGTTGAGAGAACTCATTTAGTCATTGATGACCATCGCTGATCACATCCTTGTGGTCATATCTTTCCGTCAGGCACTTCATTACAATAAAGCTTTATGGAGCAAAAACTTTTCCCCTCCCTGACTTTCAAGACCTTGACAGTTGACAATGCTAAAAGAGGTACGGGGACCATTCAGCTGTCATTGACAAAAACTTCTGACATGGTTTGTGATTGTTTGCGAAACTGACATTTTGGAAGACTGCTACCACTTTCCTTGCTGTATACAGGTTGACAGACTCTACTTTTAAGCCGTGAACAACAACAGAGGACAACAAAGATGGCAACATCCAATATGTTTCTGTTTTCTCTATGTCCCCTGGAAGGGGAGCTGAAAAGACATGCAACTTTGTGTATATGTGTGTGTGCAGTACCCATGTGTAATGTATGTGCGGTGCATTTGTGGCATCGGGGCTGAGACGGATATGGCAACATGGAATATTTGTACTGCAGTGGGGCATGCCCTTGACGTTGTTGTCACTGATAAAAACACAGGCGCAGCAACAGTCTGAACAGAAGCACACACCTTGATCACTAGTGTGTATGGGAATTCATGCCTGGAGACTTAACACAACAAAACAGTGTCGGATTGTGTCTGAGCCTACAAACAAGCAAACATGTGCCAAACTAGCTAAGCAAATAGCAACAAAATTTTTACTTGTCTGGCTTACATGCTGTTTGGCTATGGAATTAATAAATATTGTATCAATGAAAAGTAGATTACAAATGATGGTGGGTGGATTAAGCCTAAAGCCAAAGATTTCACACTGACAATCAAACTAAACATAGAATGAGGCATGTGTGTTTGTGCATAAATGGGGGAGTGTGTGTGCACGGATGCATGCACATACTTCACACTGTATCTCTGTGTGTCTTGGTGTGTGTCGTCTTATTCTACAAGGCAATAGGCAGTCAGCTTCACAGCCAGAGCATGACCTAGAAAGTGAAACCACACGGCAAGGGACTAAATGTGTCACATGGGCTCAATCATTTTTCCTCTCTCTGAAGACAGAGAGAGAGAGAGAGAGAGAGAGAGAGAGAGAGAGAGAGAGAGAGAGAGAGAGAGGGGCAGAGAATAGGGGAGAGAGAGAAAGAGAGAGAGAGAGAGACTTCTACCAACCCGCTGCACTCAGAAGCTAATTAAGTCATTTGAAATAGCCACAGAGGGTACCTGTATGCAATCTAGCCAAGGCAAAGGGTTGATGAGGCTCTGCAAGGCCCCAGGCTAACTTCAAAAAGAAGGCAAAGGAAGGGAATGAGAGAGAGGAGGAAAAACGAAGAAAGAAAGAGAGGAAAAAAAGTGAAGTGGATTTTTTAATTGAAGCCAAACTTGAAGAAGAGCATGGGCGTCTGAGTCTTCTTGTGTTGTGCAGCAGGAAAAAGGTTAAGCATGCCCCCAGCAGAGTATGTCTGCACACACAGGCTCTCAATGGGGAGCAGGTGGGAAGATGCCGAGATGGAGGGATGGAGGGGTGCAGGAAAAAGGCTCCCGATAATTGAGAGAGTTCACTGAGCGGCCATGTCATATACAGTGTTTGTGTGTGTGTGCGTGTGCATGTGTGTGTGTGTATTCCTCAACGGCATAACCACACAAACACACACCTGTGTGTAGTTGCTCTGTCCCTTCTTAGATACACGCTGAACATAAAATACTACTTTGTAACTTAATTAAAACGTACGGACGACAGCGGCAGTGATTTACATACAGACATAAAAGGGTGGGGGTCAAATTGAGAAGTCAGTCAGAGAATGTGGAAATAAAGATATTATAAGTCCTTTTGCTAGGTTTCCAAACCACAGATGATATAAGACACCTACAGCTGTGCTTGAACAGAACACACACATCTGAAGGTTTTGTGCCCTAACATGCATGCCCTCACCAGGGGCAAACCTGGCGACACCAGCGACTGAACTGGGTCACACACACACACACACACACACACACACACACACACACACACACACACACACACACACACACACACACACACACACACACACACACACACACACACACAGTATAGACTGCGGCATTGGCAGCATGGCGATCACAGGAGAGGGCAGACAGGGGGCTGGATGTAGAGTGATTGGACTATTCTAGGTCAGCTCTCCTGACAATGCACCACTGTCTCCTAATGTGGTGGGCTAAAGGATAAAGGCTGTGTTTGGCCTGACATTACAGCTACATGTTCCAAAAGGAATACCTGCTACATACAAAGACACACACACACACACACACAGATTGCAACTGCACTGTTAGAGCCAAAAACAAATCCTTACACACACAATACACACTTGAAAGCATTTACAAACTGACACATGCACACATCTATCTGTGGCAAGGGAGGTTTAGGGCAGGTTCAAGACCCCAAGAATTTGATTCGCCTCTCTCTCTTTTTCTATCCCAGTCTAATAAAGCTGTATGCAGCAGATCTCCTCTGCAGCCTATAGAGAGAGAGATCAGCCTGTGGACTTCAAAGAGGTTGCAACTAGGTCACCACAAGACACTGCAGTCAGCTAGAGCACAGTCTCTGGTCTGAGACACCTCACTTCTCTCCCTCTCCCTTCTATCTCTCCTCCCCTCTCCCTCTCCCTCTGAAAACCACTGCCTCTCTCTCTCTCCCTCTCAATACAATGATATCAGTGAAATTAAAATGGATTATGGTGCCTTTCTCTCTCATCATTCCCTGAGGTTGTACAATACCATGTCATGTTACTGTTACTATAATGTTACTTCTTTATCACTGTCCATCGAAGCTGGTGCTCAGCAGTTTAACTAATGTCTAATTTAGACACAGAGCGAGAGAAATGTGGAAAGAGAGAGGCAGCGAAAGGAGGCAGAGACAGAAAATGAGACAGAGACACCAAGCGGAATTCAGAAACAGCCCAGTCCTCCATGGTTACACACTGCCGTCCTGATCTGTCAAAGGCCAAAGAGACACTGACTCCAAAGGCTACTGCACCATACTTTGGATAAAACAGCCACAGAGGCAGCCTGAGAGATGAACTGGCAAGAGGAACCTTAGAAAGGGAAGAAGGAATGGAGAAAGGAAGTAAAACTCGAGAGGGAGAGGGAAGGGCGAGTTTATACAAGGTCAAAATGAACAGAGAGCTGCAGGGCCACATTGCTCTGAACACCCAGCAAAACACAACAACTCTTAACACGAGTAAACAGCCACCAACATCTGACGGTGGATACAGTGGAGAGGGAGGGAGGGACGGAGGGCGATAGGGGAGGTACACTTCCATCAGGTAAGTGAAGGGCATAATAAACAGAAGCTACTCACAAACATACTTATATCTGATCGGAAACCACAAATAAAAACTTATTAGAGAATGATGAAATAGCTCACTGTGTGTCTGCTTTTGTATGCATGTGTGTGCAAATGTACATCTGCATTCAATGTATACATTTTGGACAAATATGTTTGTGTCGGCAAATGCTTGTCCATCCACCTGTGTGGCTTCTGGATGGTGTTGTTTCCTATGTTGATGCCAACACTAAATATCCCTTTGCACTGTGTAATCTTCTCTCAGTGTGAGCACAGAGCAAGTTGGGAGCAGCAAATAGCTACCCTGGAGCAGCTGGCTCTCATCTTACATATTGATTGATATTGATATGATTTAGGTAAGTCTTCTACTGACAGATTTATTTCTCCACACTTTTTTACACAGTGCCAGCACAGGAACAGAGTTTAAGCCAATTTCTGTCCTATTATCCTTTGTTGCAAAGTGTTTTTGTGCATAGAGGACATCTTTTGTCAATCTCTGTGAAAAGCCAAAACATTATTTTCTGTCCACTACAGTAAAAATTATATATTACTGCTCCAAATAGGCAACAGTGATCATTTGGCTTTGAATAGAACTTCTCTTCTGTTTTATGAAAATAGATGCAACTGATGTGACCAGGTTTTAGTTTATGAACGCAGCCAGTGAATCAGAGTGTCCTGATTATGATATGATCATCACAAGTGTGCTGATCTATCAGACACAAATTATAACAGTATAATACCATGACTAGGGACAGAGACTGGGGTTCAATTCCCAGCAGAAGCACTTCTGGCTTCCTCTGGTTGTGCATTGCTACAAATATATTTGGTTGAGTCAACACCTCAGTTATGCACACACTGAGATGCAATTACTGTGTAAAAAAACAATAAACTACATGTCAGTATGATGAGCCATTGTTGTTGGAAGGTCTTGATAAAATCCACTGTTCCAGTCAATTAATGGGTTGAGTTGTAATTAGAAACAAGAATACATCTATGTGTATGTTTAGTTGTGTGTTTTACAGGCACGACTTATTTCACTTCAAGGACAACTGCAGATGCTAGTGCATCTTTCAGTCAGCACGTCAGGGCCTTCGTGGAGAAAAGCCACACTGTCCTCTCATGGCAACCCACGAAGGATGTGATTCTTGCCGTCTTACTCCACTGTGTCTGCATTTGATTTAAGGAAAATGTATTTGTGTATACAGTATAGGTGTTAGTGACTGTGTTTTTTGTCACTGTCGCTGTGCTTCTGGGTGTGCGCCATGGTGTACTGTGTTCTGAGCGCAGGTTGACATTCGTTTGACTGACATCGGGGGCGACAGCAGCACAGTGGCATATGGTAACCGCCTGCTAACCGCTAAAACTTGACATCAGCGCAAACAAGTCAGCCAAGCGTGGCATAGTGTGCTCCTAAGAGGGTTAAGGGATAGGCTGTCAGCATACAGCGGGATAATAACACCTATCACGAGCACCATAATACCAGATAAAGGGAGGGGAGTAAGATCAGTCAATACACAGGTTGATGTTGACTCTGATGAAACAGATGACAAGTTACACAGAAAAAGTAACGGATGAGCTATAAGGGATCTAAACATGTTTTGTATAGTTGTTGTGCAGTGAGGAAGTTCAGATCCTGATGTCAGCATTTTGTAGCATTCCTTAAAACAGAAATGTAAAGAAGAAAATCGAGACAGATAAGAGTGCCTCACACCTGATGTCTTAGGCTGACATCCATGATGTGTTTTCATATGTAACACCTTACTTCAAGTCCCCCATTCAGTATTTACCAGCAGTATATGAACATGGAATACATTTTCTACCACACTATAATGTAGTTGCAAGCAGTTATAAATGCTTAATAATGTATATTTGTCAACATATATAACACCTCCTGTGGGCACCCATAAGTGAAGGCTGGTGTATAAATAGATAATGAATGACAATATCGTAAAACACAGGTGCAATTATGTAAAATATGTCTTCATAGGATAAGTTACATTACTGTTACATTAATAAACCATAAACTGGTCTGCTGATCTGCTTATACCTACAGTAAACCAAAGTGCTACTTTCATATCTGATTTTGTAAGATTTGTTTCATATTCCCACCCTGTCTTTGACATGCCTCTTTACTGCTTACCCTTAAATTTGCTTTTTCTGTACTTGCCAAAATATATTCAACTTCCACACATAATATTTATCTGGTAAGTGATTACAAATACCCCATCTAGCTTGTTCGTCATTCTCAAGTAACTGTAGTTGTTAATGTATTTTTTTATCTCCGTCTATTTAGCTTTGACCATGTCCTTGCTTACAAGATGCATGTTGATGCCTATTGTACGGGACACACCGATATATAGACAAACAGTTATCCAGTGACCCACTGAGCTGCCGAAGACAAAAGAGCTGCAGACAAATCTGATCACTGATGCCATCTCTCCTCATTGTCTGTCTCTCTTTCTTTTGCACAGACAGAAAAGCACACATATCTTGAAACACTGAGACACCGCCATCACTGCCATGATCTGATGTACTGAAATGTACATTTCACATCCACAGAGAATGCAGGACAATATCAGTCTCAAAAGACAGATAAGCCTTCAAATAAAGATTCCATCTTCGATGTCTGGTCACATACAGAAAAAGAAAAATCACAAAAGCAGACAGCTACAAGACACTAACACATACGGGTAAACACAGATAAAACCGCAGCTTCAAATAAATGTATGCCATATTACTAATCATCTATGACAAATAATCCAGTGGGCCGAATGATTGAAAAGCTGGTTTAGTCATGTTGTTACTATATAACACTACTGAAACTGAAACTGCATTTTAAATGGCTACAGGAAAAGCAGAGCAGCCCTCAAACTTTTTTCATTTCTAACCACAGAGTCGGCACTAAAACTATTAACAGAAAGATTTGTTGTTGTTTTCCTCTAACCCTAGCGTACCCCTAGAACCCTGGTAACCCCTATTTAAGCACTTAGTTTCCTCTCATCGATCAAAGCATGGCACACACAGTCCAGGAGCACGACACTGGTACTGGAGAGCTTACCGCAGGTTTCAACTTTGACCCTAAGAGATGCTCAGTGGCTGGTGTGTGTGTGTGTGTGTGTGTGTGTGTGTGTGTGTGTGTGTCTGTGTTTCACAGTGTAGTGTAAATTCACAGTGGGTCACCTATCTCCTCACCACTAGCACCTCACAAAACTCAATTTCCTCCTGGAACCTCCACAGCTAAGCACTTTTAACCTCTACAAACCTGCTGCGATGGAGGATACATGTTAAATTTACAAGAGGATGAAAGAGCATTTGTGTGTGTGTGTGTGTGTGTGTGTGTGTGTGTGTGTGTGTGTGTGTGTGTTTGTGTCTGCATGTAATATTAACTGACTCAAACACATACGGTACATACACCCACCTGTATCCAAAAAAAGAAGTAAAAGCTGTTACGTGTTAGCTGTCAGATAGTGAACATGCTGCCACACAGTTTGTTGCGAATTGTGCAAAATATTGTGAAGGATTGTTCAATGCGTGTGTGCATGTCTTTTGTGTGTGTGTGTGTGTGTGTGTGTGTGTGTGTGTGTGTGTGTAAGAGAGAGTACATGTGTATTGGCCATAGAGGAGTGTTCCCAGTGAGAGAGTGAAGAGGTATCCACCACACACTGCCTGGGGCCCTCTGGAAGAGAGACTAAACAAGACCTTCCCATTGGGACGCACACACACTGCCTGCAGCTGCAAATGACCTACTACCCACCTCACACACACAGACACACACACTCACTCACGCACACACAGACATAGAGACAAAGCTTTTTTGATGATATCATTTGAGAAAAAAATAAAGTCAATTATTACACGTGGGCTAAAAATTGTACACTCCCAAATAATGTTATACAATTAGATCAAAGTCTTCCTCTTTCATTTTCTTTTGTTTTTCAACCTCTTGTTTTTTTTCATCCCCCAAGCAACATGGTGGCATGAGCAGCCTGGAAACTGATACACCAAACAACCCTCAACATCTTTTTCAACTATGTACATAAGACAGTATATTTGAACATAATATGCACATCCAGAAGGTAAATGATTTTTTTTCTCCATCTGAGTGTATGTAAACTACCGTTACAAACTGCAACATCTGTACTCGCCAAGTTCAGGTTTAGAATCTACAGCAGTAGTTGTTCCCAAACTTCTTCAAACCGCAGCACCCAAGTGACACACAAACCACCCCTTTAAGCTGAGAATGTCAGAGTAAATATCTATTATAAGCATTTATTTTAGGTCTATTTACTGTGACAAATGTGTGATAAAATGTTATAAAAAGGAACACCGAAAATTGGAAACAAATCTTGCCACACCTTCTGGCCAGTTTTTATGGCACCCTGGGGTTCCACAGCAGCCACTTTGGGAACAACTGATCTAAAGTGCTATGTTTAAAGTCACACTTTTCAAATTGGATTACTTTTAGTGGAGGAATCCTCTAATGCAATTTCTTTTTTTATGTGTGTAAATCCTGAGGTATTCTGTACAAGATAAACAATATCTGTACAGTAAAACTGCCAGAGTTAATTTACTGTAACTGAAAGTGTATAAAAACAACACTTTCTGTGTTTATAGAGGCCAATCAACACTTATTAACATGACAAAGTGCGATGTATATATTCCTTTCAATCTTTGCTCTTAGCCCAAATGTGAAATGTCATAATTTGTACTCCTCCTTATGCACTTGTGCGAATTATGTATCTGGCAGATTTGCACTAGATGCAAATTACAGATGCCACCGGTAATTACAATAATGACAGGACCTCCCAAACACATAATGCAGAAAACATGTCTTACACCAATGACATTCAGAAAGAATGATGAAAAAAAATCATGTGCTATGACCTTTTACCTACAGTGTGTTTTTAGAAAATACTTCAACCCCATTGTAAATTGTCGTTCTCATTTATCAGTGTCTTGTGAAACAATAGCCTGTGTGTTTTCCTACAGGAAGCCTGAGGATGAACATATCTTCTTCATATCGTTCTCTGACTGACAAATAAAGGCACCCTGCCAAGAGAAACTCAATGAGACCACAATCAATACACTGCTACAAGGTGCTCACACTCACACTCACACTCACACACACACACACACACACACACACACACACACACACAGATAGGGGATGATGTACGATTACCTGGAGCAAATAACAATCAGCTGATGCTCATACAGTATGCACATGCACACACTTACGTACTGCATGTACATGTGCACAAACACACACACACACACACACACACACACACACACACACACACACACACACACACACACACACACACACACACACACACACTCACACACACACACACACACACTCACACACAGACGTGCACACTCAAAGACACTTAATATGCAAATATTTTTTTTTACAACAGGGACAGCGCTCCATTGTTCATCTGGACGAAAGGGGGTAGGGGGGCAGGGGGGCAGATAGATAGATAAATAGGTCTCTAGATATCTAGCTTGGACCTCAATTGATGAGATTTCGCATACGGCAGCAGCAGTGCTGTTAGGACAGGGAATACCACCACAAAATAATGTTTTCTCTCCCTCTGATCAATTTTTAATTTGGCCTGTGCAGCCGAGCCCTTGGCGGGCCTGGCCCCGGTAATTATGGTGGGTTATTGACAGCTGCCTTCCCGCGGGATGCTATTTAAAAGAGGTTTAACCCCAGAGCAAGTCCAGGCCCCACACCCGCCTTTGAAGGTGTCAAGTGCATTGATCTGAGCTGCAGGATGTGCTGGGACCTTCCCACCTGGAGGTGTGTGTATACCTGTGTGTGTGTGTTGCTTGCAGGGCTGCTATTACAAGGCCATAGCAAGGCAAGGCATCTTTTGACCCTTACATAGACAGCACACACACACACACACACACACACACACACACACACACACACACAATCGCACACACGCACACAATCGCACACACGCACACACACACACACACACACACGCATGCATGCACACACACACACGCACACACATACATACATACATACATACATACATACATACACACATAGTCCTCTGGCTAAACCAGGCTGGCTGGATAGAATGATACCTGTCTGGCCTCTGCAGCCACCTGATGCCCCAAGATAGGCTGTACACACACTGTACGTACAATGTTATCACTGGGCTACACACACACATACAAACAGGTTAACTCACAGCTCGGGGGGAATTAGAGGAACTAATGAGAAAGGAGGAGGAGGAAGAATGGTGATTGGAGAGAGAGAGAGAGAGAGAGAGAGAGTGAGGAGAGAGAGAGAGACATCCTCACAGCACACAGGGCCATGACACAACACAGGCAGATGCCAGAGTGTGCAGCGATTTTGAAGAGGACATCATCCTGCTAAAAAAAAGAAAAAGAAAAAAAGAGGGTGGGCAGGATGACAGAAATTAAAAGAGGATTTCTGTGTTTGAGTTTGTCTGCTTCGCTGCCCCCTTTCAGCCTTCCATTGAAATTCTGGGCAGATACAAGCCCCTAGGCTTTTGACACACTTTTGAAAACACCACACCCCCTCTTTCTTTTCAGTGGGTCTCCAGTGTCGAGCCTGACTCACTATCGAGAGAGAGAGAGAGAGAGAGAGAGAGAGAGAGAGAGAGAGAGAGAGAGAGAGAGAGAGAGAGAGGGCAGTAATAAAGGGGAGGCATTACGGGGGTATAGATCTGTTTTTGTATTAGCAACTTCCAAATTAAATTAAGTCATTCTTAACGACCTGTGTATATTTTTTGTGGTTTGTGTGTACATGTGCACATTTATATGCATTTAACAAGTTGAAGAGTTGTCAGGTTTGATATTGCCACTATGAATCAATTCATACTTGAAATATTTAACATGCAGAAAAATAGACAAAAAAAAACAAACAAAAAACAATTAAATCAAGCTGACTTCTGATCATCTGAAAAAACCCAGATTACCCCAGATGAATATAAAGCCTATGAAGAAAATCTAGAGGATAACTAACGTTTCCTGCAAAACTGAGAAGATGACAACTGCGGGAGAAGTTGAGGGAAAAGGGTTAAGAAGTGATGTAAAGTAAAAGAAAGAAGGCACTAGTACATTTCCACTTCTTGCCTCTCAACTATGTTGTGTCATGGCCAGATGGTGAAGGAGAGCGAAGGCCTCATGAAAGCCTTCATGTGATTTCTTTCGTTTTAGACACATACTTACACAAGTTAAAAGTCCTACTCTCAACTCCAACAGCTACTGTAACTAATGATCCCACTTTTCAATAAACCGTCCTTCTTCAATTATTCTGACTATAACCTCACAATCTCTCTCTCTCTTTCCCATCCCCCATCCCCTCCAAACCCCATGGCGCCCACCCTCCACCTCCACCATCTCAGTCTCAGGATGCAGAGCAGTGACAGGGCCAGAAGGTAATGATACAGCTGCCATGATGCAACAAGCAGACCTGTCGACTGTCAGGAATTGAAATCATGAAGGAATAAGCTGTCATTAAGAGGCCCTCTCCCAGTAGTGGAGCTGTCAGACGCCTGCCTTCTGCCTACTCTCTCTCTCTCTATACTCCCGTCTCTCCTCTGCCAGTCCCACCCCATTTGCAGTCACTCCCTCGCCCTCCTCTCATTTCTCTCTTCAATCCTCTCTGTACCCCTCTCCTTCTTTCCTCTTCTGTCCTCTTCCAACCAATCATAACCCTTCTCCCTCTGCACCCCTTCCCCAACTCCCCCACTCTCCATCTCAGATTCCTCTTTTCCACCTCTTTCCCCCACTCTCTGGTTGTTGCTGGAGCATCCTCCTCTCACCTGTCATTTTACCGCTAGGCTATGGGAATAGCACCATCCATGTGCACACACACACATGCACATAAAGACAACATGCATGAGATCTGCACACACAACACACAGAGATTTCTCTTAACCCAGTGGCACTGTACACACTGCGCCAAATGCCATACCCTCTGCCCAATGAGATGCATTTGTGTCTGTGTATGTATGTTCTCTCTGTGTGCACATGTCTGTGTGTACATATTTTAGACTTATCTTTAACATACACGTTTTCCCAGCTTATTAATGTGTCATCATAATATAGCAGAATGACAAAGATTGTGGTATATCCAAAGACAGGAGCACAGTGGATATGGGAGGCAGAGACGGGCGATGGGGTGTAAATGGTGTGTAAGAGACAGGCTGCCCCGAGATTAACCCTGTGATTTTGTGTGTGTGTGTGTGTGTGTGCATGTGTGTTGTGTGAAGGGCCTGATTAACTAGCGCAATCAGCTATTTTTTCCCATCGGAAGAGAGAAACAGCTGACTCAAAGTTCCGAAGAACATGGTTGAGAATTTCAGATGGTGATGCCTTGACACTATGTGCATGTCCCATTCATACCATAGAATTGTACTGCATCCACACACACACTATGAGTCAAATTAACTTGTGTGTGTGTGTGTGTGTGTGTGTGTGTGTGTGTGTGTGTGTGTGTGTGTTTTCATGCTTGCTCATGTGTTTTGCGAAGCCACAAGCTCCCCCCATATTTTCCGAACGCACTCCATTTGACCCTTTGCTGCAGGCTTTGAATTTCCAATCAACTTCCCATGAGTAACTTCACATGAGCTGCACTTGAGGCAAGAGATTCTTGCCACAAAACATTTTTGGAAAACGGAGCCTTATCTAAACATAATAGAATGTATGGTCAAAATGTCAACATTTCACCCAAAACTGCACTTAACAAAATTTGTAAATCAAAAATAATGAGGAATTGTCATGGTGCCAGAGCTGTCAAATGCCTAATATAATATAGCCGAAATAACTGCCTATACAAATATGGATATGTTAGTGGTAATTATGGAATACATGTTGGCTTACCATTGTGATTGTATTATTGTGCTCACTAGTCATGCGGTGTACTTTTCAAGCATACTGCAATCCACTGAAAATACCACACTGAATAACCATAATGGGTACTGTCGATGAGTATGTAGTGTGACAAAAGTTACACTAATTGTCCCGGCGGGTTAACTGCTCCTCATCCTTTCCTTGAAGTTCCTTGAAGGGAAACTAATCATCAAAATGAGCTGATGGCTTGTTGGGTTGAGAGGCCACATGGGACCGGCCAAAGCTTTTGCGCTGGCACTGTAATAACAACTATTCCTTCAGGTGGTCTCATTCACAAACTTACATGGTCACGGGATTTTGCTCTTAATATGGCGTAATGCTGCTGATTGTGGATTTTGCTCTCCGTATTTGCTGTGTCACAGGCCTACTGTGTCAGAGAGCTGTCATTCATTTGTGAGTTATTGATTGACATGTTTTATCACTTGTTTGCTGTATGCATGTAAATTAAGATATAAAATGTATATTTATTACCAAAAAAATAGCTGCACTAAATTATGGACTGCACTTCTTTCTTCAGATTGTATAGACGCTGTAACTCCTATACATGCACCAATACATCTACACAAATTTCATGGTATGACATAATAAACCACAAACATGGCTGTAATAGATGCAGACAGCATGAATTGACTGTAAATGTGTGTGCCTGTCTTTCCAGTGCGCGCACACACACGCACACACACACGCACACGCACACGCACACACACACACACACACACACACACACACACACACACACAGAGTACAAGGCCTGTGTGTGGTAAATGCCTGGATGATGATTTGTCAGGGTGTAAGAACACGATTTCTTGTTTACTATGATGAATGAGCAACACTCGCACTCCACACACCATGTTCTCTATATCGAAGCTGTCACTTTGGCTTTCTGCAGCACAACCCTGCCTTCTCCAACTGTAATACCAGCCAGGGTAACTGTAATTCAAAGTCTTGGGGTAGCCAAATCATCCGTTAACACACACGTGGACACACACACAAGCAACCCAAACCTCTCCTGTTGTTGTACACAGCAGGAGAGGGCTTTACACAGCAGTGAAAGTCTTTATGGCATTCAGATGGACGAAACGAGGGAACGAGGGAGAGAGGGAGAGAGGGAGAGCAGGATCTCCCTTAAGTCAATTTGAACAGCAGGCCGATGAAATTACACAAGTAGTCGTGGCCAGGCTGACAAATGAACACAGAGATGGGGATGAAAATAATAAGTCAGGCAGAGCCACCTTTTGCTTGCTGACACACAGATGTATACACCCGTGTGTGATCATACGGTAGAGAAAGAAAAACTAATCTATATTTTACATTATATTATGTCTTCCTCTCTCTCAGCTCAGTCAGCCATGAATATACAGAACTACATATGAATCATACATCATAAGAATGCATGAATGTTTTCTTGTATATTAATGATCATGTTGATGTATATGCATCATTTCACTAATAAGACAATATAAGCCTCAATACTGGGTTCAGCACCGTACAGTAATAGTATCATTCATGAGTATGTTTGCACCTGTGAATAAATGTCTGCTTGTTATTATGTGCCTCTCTGATTATATGATGCTGTGGAGTGAAGAAATTGCTCAGCATCATATAATTTCTCATATGACCCCAGGACAAAGTTTCCTTTCCACTCCACACTGGTGTAAATTGTACAATGAAGTTAAACTGAATTGGGTCGATGCAGTACATCCAGAGTATAACCTATGAAAGCACACAGCAACAACAAATTACCCACAATCACATTCAAACCTCCAGTCAAATACAAAAATACAAAATGCCATGACACTCTGCTTCTCACTGTGCACAACACCTTCCACAGCCCCAAACATTCAAGCTTGCCCTTCAGAATAAACAGTGTGTGTTGCACTTGCCACACCAATATCCTATCAGGCTAACCACTGTGGTAGTGGTGGTACAACCACATGATGAGCACACTGCATGACTTTTTCATTCAAAAACCCACAAAACTCTACACACCAAAGACGTGTCACAGTTTATACTCTGTGCAAAGGAAACTACTATGCGGAAAATAGAGGATATAAATATAATGTCTTTAGAACTGGCTGCACAATAAATCTTCTTCTGACATATTATTTACAGTGTCCTTAGTGCACTCAGACCACCCTTCCCTCTTAGTGAAACATGAAAACAGGACATCTTGGATGAAAGATCAGAAAATCAGTTCAACATTAAACAGAATAGCTTGAACTTCTTTTGTTGTGCCCCCTACCGCCATGGCTCTGGTGATGAAGGGAATCTGTGTCCCTGAGTCCAGGTCCTGGTTGATGATGAGTCTACGGGCCCACTGACCAGCCCGCACCACACCACTGCCCTGAATCAGCACCAGCAGCTTGGACGGATTGGACAAGGCATCTGGGCTCAGGTAGATAAAACTGGTGGGCTCATCTTCTGTAGCATCCACCTAAAAGTTCAGGAAAACACAGGTTACCATGTGTTACTGATGTCAAACCCCAAAAATGTCTTCTATAAAGAAAAATGTACACTTTCCTAACTGTGTAAAGAAAACAAAACTGCTGAACATGACTTCATAGACTTTTGGGACCTTTAACTCAATCAAAATAAATCTCTGCGCTTTTCATGCAACAGCAGCAAATGCAAAATATGATGAAATTGTGATTTTATAATTAGAGCTTTGATTTCTGCTGCTTCAAAAAATTGCCTGATAAAGATTATGAAGAGAAACGTTAGAAATGTTCTTATGTTACATGCACAAGTTTAAGGAAAAACAGCCATCCCCTCAGTGGCCTTTGTAATTAAAAAAGCTCATATGCATCAGTACACTAATCATCAATAATCATGATTAGAAAACAGCCTTTGTGTGATTAAAACTGAGGCAGAAAGTAAAGTACAGACAGAAAGAGAGGCTAAGTGAGTGTTTGTGTGTGTGCATGCACTCCGTCCACTTCCCATGTGTCTTTGCATCCCTCCCAAGTATGCCTGGAAGAATCTCTAAGGAGACAAACACTGTCCATAAAAGCCATGGGTGGCAGCTGCAAGAACTTAATCCAAGCAGACAAAGAGAGCCGAGTGGGGGAGAAAATCTTACCCTTTATTCTCTTGTGCTCCCTCATTCCCTCTCCCTATACTTGGCTGTGGTTAATCTTCTTAAAATCTGCGGTCACAAGTTCAATGCCACGCAGGTGGACGGACCCACCACTAACACACAAATACACACACACACGCCATATACACGCAGGCGGGTGGGCAGCAGAAAAGTAGAACAGAGCAATTTTCCAGAGGAATAATGAGATAAATAGGCCAGGCAGATAAACCAGTAAAAGTGTATGGGGGCTAATGAAAGGCGCTGAGTCCCTGGCTAGGTGATTTATGGACACTGTTAGCGCTCGAGCTAACTCTGCTATGCTTCTAAACACCACCGCAGCCTAACATCCCCATAAACGCAGCCTGAAAAATGATCACAACTTTTATAAACAGAAAAGGAGCAGGAATGGAGGGGTAAAGGGGGGCAAAAAGAGACAAACATGCTTCCAACAACAAATAAAAGGGATCAAGTGTGTGCTCTGAGCCTGGATGAGCTGGGCAAAGAATAACTCCATGATGGCAGAGTAGAAGTCCCCTTCAGCGCAAATGAATGCAAAACAGATTAAGCATCAGCATGCTGCGCCTCTGCGCCTTTGAAATGACACGTCACAATACAGTTAATTTGTTGAGGAGACACTTTTGCACAAAGGATGTGGGCAGAGGAGGGGGTAAAAGAAAGAGAGGGAGTAAGAGAGAAACTGAGTGAGATAGAAAGAGAAAGACAAAGAATGGTAGAGAATGAGGAGAGCTGACTCTCCACAATCCCCTTTTCTTTATTTTTTTTAAACAGGACACTCAATATCATAATCACACACTGAAGCCTAAGCATTTACGTCAATTTTCATTTTTAATACTCCCTTTAATCTTCAAGGGCATAAATCAAAGAGGAAAATGCTTCTTTTCACTTTAGGTACTTACCGGCAGGATTGCTTTAGTCATGTTGCACTTTTTCTCCAACAGCTCATAAACATACTGAGTGATGATCTGGAAAGAAAAAAAAGACAGGACACACACACAGTCAAACATTACATTGATAATACAGTCTAATGCAATGAATATTTATACATTGCCGTTGATACAAATCCATCCAACAAAAGCCAACTAAACTCTGCGTGTATGTGTGAACAAGTAATAGCAACAACTGTCATGCTTGCAAACAGAATAAAAAATACTATTCAAAAACCGTGTTTGCCCTCTGGTGTGTGTGTGTGTGTGTGTGTGTGTGTGTGTGTGTGTGTGTACATGAGCTACTTGAAAGGGTCTGGATCATACTGTGTGCAGTGTGTGTAGGTGTGTAGGTGTGTGTGTGTGTGTGTGTGTGTGTGTGTGAGAGAGAATCACAGTGCAGTTAGAGTGTTGAGGTTGTAAGTGCCAGGAGAGGAAATCTCCTGTACAAGCGAAGGGCTGATGTAAGTTATGTTTATCCCCGCAGCCACAGCACTAAAGAACCTTGTATACCGAATCATTCCAACCCCAGGCCAAGCCTTTCATGGTTCAGTGACATTAACAACTTTCTTTTCCATTTTCCCTATATTTTCTTTCCTTCTTTTCTTCTCCCCATGTCCTGCTTAGCTGAGAACAGAGAGAAGTGCTTTGTAGAACAGATTTCGATTTCTGATCAGTTGTGAGAGAAAGACAGAGGAGTGGTGATAACAGATGACAGGGCACATGACCGCTGGCAGTGAGCTGTGTTGGAGCTGTTGTTTCTGTGATGATATTTCCCAAACACGTGCAATGAAAGACTCCCTGTCCTGTACATGTCACGACAATACAATGATGGGCGGCTGGACCACGGGGAGAGCTGAGTAACATGCTGCACGGCGCGGCTGTAAAGTCTCACTTTGGTTAGCTTTTGAAGCATCAGCTTTACTAAATTAGGAAAACCAAAGGCTAGCTGTAGCACCACAGCTATTAAATGAGACTGACTAACTGGCTGACTGCAATCACAAACCACGATCAACCAGAGACTGCCATGTCTCACAGCAAGGAGTGGCATGATTCTCATTAATGTGTGGAAAGGGGGAAAATTGCATTGAGATTTAATAACAGGTCAATATACATTTACACATTAAATATAATAGGGATGCACAAAAATAAAATGTTTTTCAATGTTAGTAATTCAGCTTTTTAAATATCAATATACACCATCATACATTCACAAGCCACTTGTGTATTTCTGGAGCCAATCAAAAGGAAACTTGTTGATATGCTGAATGTCACAGAAACATGCTGCTATTTCTTAAAGAAGGAATCTAGACTCAGTCCAACCAACATTACAACATGTCCTTAGAGAAGTGAGAAAATCTCACTGCCAAACATGACTATTACTAAAGTGTATCAACAAGTTAAAAAAACAGATTCTTTTGGGCCATGATCTGCTTAGCTTTTGTAATTTTTTGCACACCAAAAACAAAGTGTTTTCTTTAGACCACCTTCTGAAATGTCAACCTCAGGACAATGAAATTATGCATAATCTAAATTACATGTTCCAAACTCCAAACACTTTTCAAATGGCATGAATTGGCATTTTCACACAGAAAATAAAGGAAAACAAAAGGCCAAATGCAACTTAAGACTACTCAAAAAAAGGGGCTTTTGCTTTTAAGTCAAACCTGAATTCTTATGATAATCACAATATTGCCATGCTCTTTTATGCCCGAAAGAAACTCAATGCTAACTTGATTTAATGCTTAAAGAACAACGTGCAAGAATAACATTAGGCACCAGACACATATTAGCCTTATGACAGCCAATCAAAGGCCAGCAGACGGACCAAATGAGATGATCGATCCTACCATTTGACCCTGTGAAGGGGGGAAAAAAGCTAGAGAAGCTAAAACAACCCCACCTCACCCCAGCCCACCAAACCTCCAACAGCTAATTCACTAAAATGTCAGCCGGTCTGATGAAGACTAAAATGATTCCGGGCCTCAGTATGCTAGTGTTTAATGACATCAATAAGCCTCACAGGAAATTTCATTTGCACTATGTTATTTGTTCAGTGCCTCAGGTGGCTCCAGAACCATCTGATATAGAATAAGGAAAGACTGATGGGGAACAAGAGAAGAGAGAAAAGGTGGAAAGAATGCATGTGTTTCACTGTGTGAATGCATTTCCACTGAAAAGGATACTGTAGATTATAAGTAAGAATCAAATATCCAAGCTTGAATATAGGCCAGTCATCTGTGTGTTTTAGTTCATTATGTAAACTGCAGCCAGATGACCCTTTCAGTAAACAAGATCCAGACCAAAACTTGATAAAGAGACAGTACCAGTATTCCACTGGGTCAAAATCAGATTTTTTCATGGGGGTGGGAAATGGGATAGACTCAAAGAACAGGCACTCAGAAACTCACAAATACGTCCTGGTGCACACACAAACGTGTGCAGACACGCAGCCAACCTCCTTCTGTGTGGGCCTCTGAGGACTATGTCTCAGCAGCTGATCAGTACAATAGGAAAAGCCTCTTTGTCACCTAATTACCAATGTGTTATTAGTGCTTTAATGAAATGCCTGCAGGAAGCAACGCTGAGTGCCTGCATTGTCGGCATTGGACGATAGGAGAAGCATGAGGAGTGGATTTGGCAAATAATACTAAGACACAAAAAGAGAAGCGAGGGGGGGGAAAGAAAAATTGATAGGTTTCATAACCATAAACATGCTTACAATGTCCTTTTTTATCTGCAACAAATATGTACTATCATTTAGGTTGACAAGGTGGGTGCAACATTATCTGAAATGTCAGTGTAAGCTTAGACTCTCTCTACTATAAAAAGTGGAGGGCAAAGTCCCAGACTGCATAATTTCACTGCCAAAGACAGAGATCAATGTCAACGAGTGACACTTTACAAAACATTTGTAACCACTGTAACCCTCACTGACTTAGTCACTGTTGACTAGAGAGACAAAGTCAGCCTTCACACTGAGGTGAAAAGAGCAAAAAAGTGGAGTTTCCGAATGATGATGTATCCTCGAACAACAGCAAGCTTTTATAAGGCCGTGAGAGTGATCGTGAGAGAGTCTGAAATAGACCTTCTGCGGCTGAGGTCACCTCTATGTCTGTGGTTTGTTTGTGTAGAGGAAGCATTGTGGCGATGAAGCAAGAAGAACGGGATCAGGGAGGAAGGAAGGACTTAGAGGAGGGCTCAGTGGGAGGAAAGAAGGAAGACAAGAAGGGAGAGATGGAGAAGTAATCCCCAGGAGCCAGAAGTTCGTGCCAGCTCCCACTGCAGTGAACAGCTGAGAGGGGAAGGAGTGATGGAAGGAGGGATGGATGGGGAGAAAAGAGAGTAAACATTACAGTACGTGGCCTTGATAAGGGGCCTTTAAGTGGGTGGCCTATGACATCAACTCCTTACAAACCTCTGGTCATCCCCATAACAATCTCTTCATCACTCTCAATCACACACCAAGCCAAGGTCTTAATAAAGACCATTGTGGCTGCAAGTTGATATGTTTTTAAACTCCTTGCTACAGAGATAGACCTCCCACATTATGTGTGCACATGTATTAGTTAAAGTGCATAGGTATGTGTTCTTGCACTGATTACAACAGTCATGCGTGGTTTGGCTGACCGCATCGAAGGCGATAAGGAGATGATCTTTCCTGGGCACAAAACAAACATGAGGAGGAAGAGAACCAGGACAGGAAGAGGTGATTGGATATAAAGGTAAGAAAGACAAGAAGAGGAGGACTGGGAGGAAGTGTTTCATAGAGATAAATAAAGACTATTTAAGACCAATTTAAAAATGTGGCAAGCCCACATGAATTGTTTAAACAAATTTGAAGTTATCAGAAGTCATAGTTACAGAGCTGTTTTAAGGCCTTGATAGGCTTCTAGTTTAAATAATGTAACAGGAGACATTTGTGGGGCCCATGAAGCCTCACTGGTTTATCTGAAAAAAAAAAAAAAATTCAATTTCAGTGTCAGCCATGGGCATAAATATACTCAAGACAGCAACACATACTGTATACACACATAAACAAGAAACTCGTGTGTAGACGCACACCTCTTGTCTCTCTAGTCCAGAGCCCCCTCCAAAAGCCACTTAGCCATAGAAACCAGAGAGCAAGAAGACGCATCAAAGCTGTTTATATAATGAAACTGAAAGAGCTGTCCCATGCCGTATCACTGACTGCACCCAGGAAAGCATTCCTTCTTCTCCAGAGAATAAAGGAGTGGAAGAAAAAGAAAAAAAAAGAAGAAAATCCCCCTGAACAATGCAGCACAACAACAGCAAAGCATACTCAGAAAGAGAGCGAGACTGCAAAAATGAGAGAGAGCATGAGGCAATAGAAAGGTTGTTTATTTTAAGTCAGCCTCGTGTACCAACAGAAAGTGGTATTAAAATAGAGCCTATTGTTGTGAATTTGTGATCTGTCAGTCCGTGTGGGGGAGAGAGAGAGAGAGAGAGAGAGAGAGAGAGAGAGAGAGAGAGAGAGAGAGAGAGAGAGACTGGTGTAATTCCCATGAGGTCTCTGTCATTCTTCTGTCAGAGGAGAGAGGTCTCTCCAGGGGAAGAGAAAGTTCTCAGACACAGACTGACAGACAGACTGTTTACACTTAGCGTAGATATCCCTCTCTCTCACCCCCTCACCACCCTCCCTGCACTACTCACATCCTAATGGCATCGTAATGACCTCCTCAGGTGTTAACTGAGAAGCCGGCAGAGGTCTAATTCAAAGTAAAGTACTGTATGCCACCATGGGTGCCGGCGGTAGCGACAGATGCCAGCGCTGCAACTACCAGCTCTCCTGCCTTTTCTCCAACACTCCCCTTCAAACCCCCACCCCCTGTCCAATTCCCTTCTCTTTCATCAACTCTAATCCAACTCACCCAGTCCCTGCAACCATTTTTGTCTGACTGTGTCTGCTTCCTCCTCCGTGCTCTCAGCAGAAGCTGCAGCAGCAGTGTTTAAGTGTTTTGGGAATGGAGACGTGATGGCAGTCAGTGAATCTGGGCAGACAGCTGTCATTTATAGTCCCTCTTTAGAGAGATCCCATTATCTTCCCAACAAAATGGTCCATGACTGGTATGGGGCTTCCTGATGCTTTAAGTACAGTATGGAGACCTGTCTCCGGGGTTCCCACTGACGCAACATGACAGCACCATGACTTTTTAAAGTTAATTATAAGACCTCTACAACTTCAAAATGTAATTCATCTCTTGTTGGTTAATGTTGATTATCTAAAGGGATACAAATCTACAACATTTCTAAACAACTAATGACTTAAATGTGTGAAATCGTACTCTAAGTGACTTGTAAAGTTTCAAATTATAAATCATGATTTTAGTAAATAAGTCACACTTTTAATTCAGATGCTCTTTAAGGCTCTTGATGTACTTTAAAACTGAAATGGATGCAGACTTCTGCAGAGTACTGTTTATGCTACACTGGGTGTCTTCTTAGATAGATGTGTTCACACGTGCAGTAGACAGACAACGTCCATGTGTGGACTCCATTTGGGCTGCATGTACACAAACACTATGGCGTTACACTGCCAGATGACGAAATTTGCGTTGCAGGAATGTGACCACAGGAAGTATGATTTTATCTTAATGGGTAGTTATGTAAGCCAACTCTTCAAAGCAATATCAGCTTATCCAAGTACACAATCATCAACCAGCTGGCTATTGATTCTCTGCAGGTCTTCCAAAACAATCTGTGTCCCCATCCCACCCATTTTATATTGTTATACTGCATATAATGTTTGTCCTGAGACAAGCATCCAAATGTATGCAGATGATATTGTAATTTATGCACATGGTAGAGGTATAATACAAGTTGCTACCATAAACTGAGTTTATGATGATATAATATAATATAATAACCTTGTCATAATTTATCGTTATCAAAGAAAATTCTTTAGCCACTTTCCTCAGTGTTTTGCTCAAGGGCCTTAAACCTTGGCCAGCTGGTCAGCGTTATGACAACACCCAGCATCTATAATGTGGAAACAGAGGGAGACAGGAAGAGAAAAAAGATAACAGAGAGACAGCAGAGAGTGTAGGAAACAGACAGAGAGAGAGAGATGAAGAAACAGAGAGAAAAGGAGAGAGGGAGAGAGACGGCTTTCTAATGCAGCCATCTGGCTAGCTTCACTTCATTATAATATTCTGACTGTGTGTGTGTGTGTGTGTGTGTGTGTGTGTGTGTGTGTGTGTGTGTGTGTATGTGTTTAAAATTTGTGAGAGCCTTCCATTCCACAGATGCAAGCAGAGCAGAGAAGAATCCTCATTTATTAACAGCTTAATAGAGCTCCATCTGGGCCAGACCCTATGCTTGTCTTCTATCAGAGAGATTCATCACTGAATCACAGGAATTAGGCTACAACTGTCACCTACACAGGCTGAGGTGACCCTGCTGCACTGAGCAACCCTGTGCAGATAACGGGCACTGTACTACAGCTGTAATACAGCCATTACGATAACGTCAGAGACACTATACCAGTAGTCTATGGGGTTTTCAGTCTTTTTGGGAAATGTTTTAGTTTTAATATGACAAAACACAATAAAGACTAAATTAGGCAAGGTCATACAGGTCATACCTGTAAGCAGCAGCAGCATTGGAACTGAAAGAAAACAATTTGTCCACGCAAACATCTTAGGCTTTTCTTTTGTTGGATCTAGAATCCATAGCTAGCCTAGCTAAGGAGACTCAAGACTAGTAGTCCCTGCAAAAAAAAAAAATATAGAGGAAAAGACACCAGGTTAGGACATTTGACGTTTCACAGCCTTTTTAGCTAATAAAATGTAAATAAAAAAAAAAAAAAAAAAAAAAAAAAAAAAAAAAAAAAAAAAAAAAAAAAAAAAAAAAAAAAAAAAAAAAAAAAAAAAAAATATATATATATATATATATATATATATAAATATATAATTGGAGAATGTAAGAAGCACTTTAGGCTTACAACAAGGAGAAGAAAAAGGTTAAAAAAAATTGTTTGTAAAAGTTTCATGCTTTACATCATTTTTGTCAAGCTAAAGAGCTGCATACGGCTCTGAAGCTGCAACTTGCCTACCCCTGCATTAGACCAATACAACCATTTACAAACTGGGGTTAATGGGAATACCAAAGAATAAAATCCTCTAAGTCAGTGCTTAAACTCTTTATAGAGTGCATTCAGAACATAAAGGGATATTTCAGCTGCAGACTTTTCATTTTTCCTACTTATCCAGACAGACAACCCTTTCTTATGCTACTGCCATACCTTCAGACTACACAAAGAGACATAAACAAGGCATCAGTAAGTGGCCAGACCCAGGGTAAAAAGGGAAAATAGCTATATCCCCCAAATAACTTAGCTTTCCCTTGAAAGAATTGAGTTCATACTTAATAATCAGGTGCTCCCTGAGGATATTCTAAGGTTCTCATGCCGGCGCTTATGGTTCTGAGGAACTTCATTCTCCTATTGTATACGTTTGAGTCAGTACACTGTATTCTTAACAGCTCAATTTGTGTTATTTATAGTAGTACGCTTTCTCCATTTAGCCAACGGTTTTATGGTGCTCATTTTTTCAAGCAACAAAACACGTGCTATACAGAGTAACCATGATTGTTTGCACACCATCACAGTCACTGTGTCAGTTCAACTTTTAGCAGATAACCCACTCTTCTACTTGTTTCTATCTGAGCTATATTTTTCATTTAAGATAAGATAAGATTAGATAACCCCCTATTGATCCACAGAGGGGATATTCAGGAGTTTCAGTTGCACAAAGACAGAAATAAGTACAGATAAATAGAGAAAATAAAAAATAATTAAAAGTATAAAATAAAAATAGAAATAAAAATAGAAACTATACAAGAGCAATAAAATTTAAAATTACAAGGTGACATAGTGAAAAAACCCCAAAACAAGCATAGTAGCGAGAGAGCTATGGCAACAGGTGCCTGAAGAGCTCCAGGAAAGTAATAAAAAAAAACTTTTGTGCACCTTATGTCATTCCATCCCAAGTTCTATTCATTTAAAATTATCAAATTATTCCTATTACTTTACTAATAGAAACAGGCCTACAAATTAAGCTGTGGTCTAACTTTATGGGTAATAGCTTTTCTTAGATGTTGAATTGCAGCCCAAGTACCTGTGCACAAATTTGGCTTCCACTTAAATGTACGAAAATATGGCCCAGGGTGTTCAAACATAATTGGCCAGTGCAGCTTCTTGAAAGTAAGATCTGCAAATCTCTCCATATGATGCCAAAAATATATGGGAAAAATTTTGAATAATTTTATTTTTTTTAGGGGGAGAAAGATTATTCACTGCTCTTGTACTCAGCCCAAATTCTGTTCCCATCCCTTTCTTTAGCTTGGAGGCCATCACACCAACATCCTCGTTTCTCCCTCTTTCTATCCGTCCCTCCATTCAGACGAGGCTGAAGTGCAAATTGGACATCTGGTGCTGTGATGTGTCTGACAATACAGCCGCCACCCCCAGCCCACTCACACACGTACACAGACACAAAAACACACACACACACACACACACACACACACACACACACACACACACACACACACACACACACACACACACACACACACACACAGAGTCCTCCACACAAAATACAGGACCACGAGGATATAAAGATACTGAAAGGAAGAAAAGAGGTAGGGTCAGATGGACAGAGGCAACGCAAGGCAAATATATCTGTATAGCGCCTTTCAACAACAAGGCAATTCAAAGTAACACACAAAGGCACTAAAGGTTATATACAGTATGTGAAATTTAAAACATTAATTTAGCAGCAAGCAACTATTTGCCACATAAATTATATAGAGGAGTCATGGTGTCCTGAGCTAAGAATTATATCCCATTCCCTTTGCCTGTGTTGCTATCGAAGGCTCTCTGGTCTGGCCGTGTGTGCATGTTAGTGCACGTGAGTCCCTCTGCTTGCAACTGAGGAGAGCAACTGAAACAGCTTTTTCTCATCGATGTCCAAAAATTGAGGATTTATTTTGATTGTTGGAACAATGGAAAGACTAACAAAGATGTTTTTGGTGAGTTTTATTTTGTTTCTGTCTATTTTAAATGAAGTTACAATGAAATGCACAGTGATATGTCTACTTTTGTCTATAGTGTCTGGTGGTGATGGATAGAGATATCATGTCTCTCTCTGTAGGGATCCTTTCCATAAGGTTGTCAGACCCTGAAATGGACATCTGCAAGATTATCTGCTTTGTTTTGCTTCTATCGGTTTTGTCAATGGAGTCTTGTCGTTGGAAATGTTATTCCTATCAAACTCAAACAGCTCCCTCCTGTTTTTCTCTTTTTTCATATACGTTATCAGCATGGTTGGTGTTACAGAATCTGCTTGGTTGGGTGGAGATGGTGGCAGATGACATGGCAGTGACCAGGGGGTGAATTTAATGCCTGCATTAATCAGCGCTTCTATTTTATCAGTGAATCCCAAAAGGGGTGAAGCAGGAGAGAGTGAAGGAAAGAGGAATAGGAGACTGATACTGACCCTAACGCTGAATCCAGAAATTACAATATTGCATTTATCTTTAGGTTTTTCAACCAGATTATCCCAGCAGGTATAGATCCCATTCACAGCATATGAATTCTTTTTTTTTTTTCCTGTGAGTCAGTGAAGAGTTCACTGACTCACTGGTAGAAGAAATTGTCAGATTGTCTGTATAATTCAGAAGTCTTTTCCAGCACCAATATCCTTCTCTTGAGTGTGGCAATCTTCTGTAACAATTTATTTAACTCTGTGCACTTGATCGACTCCAATGAGCAGAGAAGCATAGTTACATCCGGGGCACAACTGTGTCAGTGGCCCACTACGTTACTGTTTGGGTTGTGTTAATGTTGTAGGTAGCAGAAAGCAGTTAAAAGTAGATCATCGCAAGCCAGAGTTGTCATAAATTATCCTCCCAATGATTTAGTTGCAATAGGAAACCTCCTTGAATGTTTTGAAGTTGAAGACGAGAAAGAAAAAGTACAAAAAAAGGAGCAAAAATAACAGCTAAGCAGAGAGCAAGTAAGGGGAGCACCTGCACTGAATCTGCAAAGAAGGAAGCAGCAAAGGGTACTCCAGAGGTATGAATGAGGGGAGGGACAGAAAGGAATGTAAGTAAACATTAGAGGGCAATGAAGATGTGATTATATGTATACTGCCAGGGGCAAATGCACCCACGTCCTTGTGCCATGTCACACAGCTCTCAGGCTGAATTGTGGCTAGTTCAAAGACTATCTCAGGTGGCAGGTTGATAGTTGGCATTTGAATGAGTTGTGGTGGTGTTGGGCCTATAGCAGGCCTGTCTGCATAAAGGCTTATTCTACATCTACCCTCATGACATCTGACAAAGTCTCTCATCATGGCTGATGCAGAAAGGAGAGGGATGAGAGAAAAGACTTCAAGGACAAATACATCTGCATGTGTCGGCCAGACGGACACGGAAATAAGCATGCAGGTATGCCTGTGTGCCACACACTCACATATAGAGGCTGACTTAGCAGCATAACCCACTTTTACAACCAAAGGCATACAATTCAGTAGTTGTGTCTATTTATAATGGAGCATATTTCTTACCAGCAAAACAGTGCATTTGTACTTGCAAAGCTGTATGAGGTACAATATTCATTTTCTTGAATCATCTGTGCCCTAAAAACAACAGACAGATAATACTGCTTATTCAGATAGTGCTCTTTTTTTCTAAGCCAGTTAATCTCCTGCAGCACAATTCATACAGTATCTGCTCTCATTACACAAGCTCGCATCAACACTGATTGACATGGTTTCCTTTTTTCTTCTCTAAAGAAGATGCTTCTGTCAATGTTTTAATCACAGGATGAATAAAATTTGCATACATCCTGCTTGATGATTATTTGTTTCCCCGAAATGTTTGGCCCCCCTCGGATGCCTGAGTTCATTTAGTTTAAATGTCTCTGTGTTCTTTCAGGGCCTTTGCTTGCATGCTACCAAATGTTTGTTTCTACAGCCTTTTTAGATGCTGGTAGATAGTGCCTGAGCAGGCAAAAGAAATGAGGGGAAAAAAGCCTTCACAGAAGGCTGGCTCTCAAAGGAGCTACTGTATACCTGCATTAGAAATAATAAAAACACCCAGGTAATCCCACAAACGGGTCTATCACTTTGCTTTGAACTTCAAAGAATGCACACAATTAAAAGCAACATAGCAGGGGATGCAAATAAAAAACTGATTACAAAAGAACATTTGTCTCATTATCTTAATGCATATTGCATGCGTTGGTACTGTGGGAGTAAATTAGAGGTGAACTTTAGGATGGTGTATGTTTGGATATATGGTGGTGCAGTTGGACAATGAAAGAACTTCATAAGAGCATTAAGGAACTTCACAAAAATGTGTCACAAGGATTTTAAGTTTTAAGCTGTAGGTAGGTAGGTAGTTGTAGGCATAGAATCTTATAAATGACAGTCAAAAAGTATTTTCTTTCCTAGGGATCTTTCAGTATCTGCTTTTCACCATATATTCTATATATATGTTGAAGAACAATAAAGGCCATCAATTCATTGGCAGTGGTGTGCATTAGTAAAGTCTCTAATGTATGTCTACATCTCTATGTTGCACAGTCATAAAAAATTGTCAAGAAAGCTCTTTTTCACATGCTGCGTCAGGCCTGCAGACTCTGTCAAAACAATGTAGACCAGCCTCCAGTACTGTATGCATCACAGGCAGGTTGTTCTATCTACACTGAGCCTTCTTAATGTTGGCTCAAAAGGCTTGATTGAGGACTTTTTCTGGTGCGGAGGTTGGGAGGAGCAGTAGCAGGCTCAGTTTCAGACCCATGCTCAGGTTTTGTTGCAGATTTCACATTTGATTTACGCTCTTCATCATAATCAGCAGATATGTCCCTGTCCAGTTCAGATTTCACATTTGGAAATTTAACAGATTTTACCTCAGACTCAACAACTAATACGTTAACTAAATTGATAAGTAGATGAGGACAATGGATTTCACTGTAATCCATTGTGCTTATCTGCCTCAGCAGATCATGATTTTTTTAAATACTTGTAAACCTTCCACATTCTAATCTAACAGAGGCCTCTACCACAAGACACACCTCTGTTAAAACCGTTCTGTGGCATTGGCATTTGAGGTGTTAAAAAGCAAGTTACAAGGCATTATCAAGTTTGTAATTAAAGAGTGACTAAACTGAGTAAAGGGAGTGGCAATTTAACATCATGTTTTAAAAAAAAGCCTAGACCTAGAAACACTTGTAAGTCTTCCACAGCTCAAGTGTGAATTAAAACAGCCACTATAATGAATAAAGCATGTGTTACAATCTTTTTAGACCTATAAATGTGTAAATTAAAAAAGGAATTAAATCAGAGTCCTGTATTAACTTTGACAACTTGATTTGTCAAAGTTAATTTTATTGACTACAGTGGCCTGCTGTTGGACCACGTAAAATCAAAATCAAAATTTAATAAATAAAATAAAATAAAAAATTTAAATTTAAACACAAATAATAAAAAAGACTTGACAGGAAATTGATCTGTCCAGAGGAAAAAAATGTGAAAATGTGTGATAAGGGTCAAAGTGCCACGTCTGTTTGCTTTTCAAAAGAATAAGAAACCATGGAAAATATTCATAACTGTATATATTTTATTTTATTAGGATGTATTGTACTGTTATTCTAATATGTAATTATCATTTTCTATGTTTATAGCACGAAGGGACTGCAACCTTGTGTTGTATAATGAAAACACATATGCGTTACCTCTCCAAGAGCTTCATAGCGTTTCTGGTTCCAGCGGTGGAGATCCTCTCTGGCATTGAACACAAAAGGCTCTCCCGTTTTTATATGTCTGAGCTGACCATCTGTGGAAGAAAAAATGAAATGAAACAAGGAAAAAGCACATCTGGAATGATAATGGATACCTGTTATGTGTGTGAGACAGTAAAGTGGGCAGATCATAAATTCTGACCGGACATGCAAAAGTACCTACATCTGCTAAATTAAGCAAACCAAGCTTGACACCTTTGTTTTCTATTGCTTATTATCATTTTCTCTTTCTCCTTTCCTCTGTTTGTCCTTTTGCTTCCTTATCCTCCCCTCCCCTTCCCTCCCTCCCTCCGTCCCTCAACCGCCCCCATCTGGCAGGTACAAGGCCTGTGGATGCAGCAGTGTTCGTCCAGTCACGACTCCAACGGCCTTCTGGGTAGTCTGGCAGGCCAGGGCTGGACAGCTGGTATGGCAAAAATTCTGTTTCCCTCTCTCCCTCTTTTCATCCGTCTAAAAGCCTCTCCCCTTCCTCTTTAACTGTGTCAATCTCTCTCTCCCTCTCCTTCCTCGCTCACGCTGGCGACAGGCCACAGGTCTGTCCCTGTCTTTTCCACCTGAAATCTCCAAGAGCAAAGACTAAAGGAGGTGTGTGAAAGGTTCTTAGTGTGTGTGTGTGTGTGTGTGTGTGTGTGTGTGTGTGTGTGAGAGAAAGGTGGCCTGGCACGCATTAGCCACGACAACAACTGCTCCTTGCAATTCCTTTGAGGATGCTGTCTGGGCATCAGCCAATCACCCAAACCAGCACAGCTTACACACACCCAGACACACACAAATACCAGCAGCTGCAGCCAGAAGGACCAGGTGTGGTCATACAGTAAGTGTCACTAGGCCTAAGTATGTGTGTTTCTGTAAATTGCTGCAAGTGAGCCAAGCCGCCATTACAACACACGAGAACTGACTGAGAAGAAACAAATGCTTTTTGGGACAATATTTATGTGATTTATTATAATTCAGGGGAAGCATAGGAGTTTTTTAGACATCCAGGTTTTATTTGATATAAAACAGTCATAAGACAGGAAAATGCTGTTCAGAAATGATACTACTTTTTTTTTCTTAATAAACAATTACCCTTGCGTGGCTGTGGAACCTCTACATTTATACCTTAGCAATGAGCCCATCGATCCTGCGGTTGACACTACAATACAATAAAACACTAAACAGTGTTAAATTTAATTTTGACCTTTATGACTGCAGAATTTGTAAGAGCTAAACCACTGAAAAGTACACATACTTAACCCAAATAGCCAGGGGGCTCTCATACTTTCTCAATTATTGCACAATGTGAGGAAACCCATCTAAGATATAAATAAATATAATATCTTTGCAAGATAAAAGAATGCATAAGCATTTTTTTCATCTCCTTCTAAATTGCCACCGTTTTCACCCCTCTATCAATGTGATAAATCTTACATTGCTAACACACTGTGTATTCCAGCACTTGCTTTCATGGTTAGTTGTTAGACAACATGCGATCCCGAATCTAGGTTTGTCATCATGTTGCATTAAAAAGCAGACTTGTGCCTAAGAGGTAAAGCAGGAGACGAGTGAGAAGTTAGGATAAAGCAGTGTGCACAAAAAGTACCTTGAAGAAAATCAATTATGCATTCAAGGAGGGGTGAGGATCTAAACACTACTGCCTAAGAGAAGGAAGAGAGGAGCTATAATGAAATCCTACTGTAGGAAAAGGGATGTGTGCGTGTCTGTGTGCATGAGGGAAGGAGAAGAGAAGTGTGTGTATGTGTGTGTCAGTGTGAGCTAGGGGGGTGATCAGCTCCATTGCCTCCCCCAACACATCCTCTCAGAGGAATAACGTTTTCTCAACTTTTCTCCTCTTTTCTGTCATAATTAGCATTCTGTTCTCAATTTGGCCGCTTAATTAGGTGTACATAACCTTGGATTTCCAGTAATGGAAAACTGGAGGGCTAGCAAGATGAAGCCATCATCTTCAGTGATTAAGATACCTGCAAACTATTGTACACAGGCTCGTCTGTATTCACATCATTACATGGTCAAATTAACATTTTTGTTCCACCTGTCTCAGGCAAAGGTAGCCTGGGTGTAGCTATAGAAATGCCCGCAAGCCAGAGGGACTGTGAAATGCTATCCTTTAAAAACAGACCTGAGTGGAAATTGACAAGACATACGGATGGGTATGGGTGTGTATATGTGTGTGTGTGGGGGGGGGGGCTCTGAGCAGGGGCAGGGGCAGAAATAGAGAGATACAGAGAAAAAAGAAGGGGAGACAGAAGGGTGAGGGAGTAGAGATGGAGACTCTTTAAATGTGTTCCTCCCTCCATGGGAGACTGAGCTGGGACTTGAGGGTGGGGTAAAGGGGGTAGAGAGTGTTGGCACGGCGGCAAGTGGGGGGTAAGTCTCCGTGTCTCTGTTCTTAGGCACAGCGAGGTTATGCAAATGCTCCGTCAGGCGGAGGGCAAGGCTGAGTAGGTTACTGACGGGCCGTAGAGTACACAACATGTCCCCCACTCAGCCAGCCAGACAGCCAGCAGAGACACTGACAGAGAACAGAGGGGGTGAGAGAGAGAGAGAGAGAGGAGGGAGGGAGAGAGAGGGGCTACAGGGGAATACTAAGAGTCAAAACCACCACCTTTCCAACTCCACTTTACCTGGTCTGAGCCAAGCGAATTCTAAAGACACTTTTATATCATCTGGACACACACAACTCTGGGTCCAGCTCTGCTCCTCCCTGTCACTAATAATTCCACACACACACACACACACACACACACACACACACACACACACACACACACACACACACACACACACACACACACACACACACTACAGTGAACTTTTACCCCCAAAATGTCCCAGGTGACAGCAGAGACAGTTCTAGGTCATTAATTAAAAAACAGTGCTATTACACTGAACCGAACTGTAATTACACACTGACTGTTTATGTTAAAACTGCCTTAGTTTTGTATGGGATTATGGTAATTTGGTTTTTACATCATCCTCAAAGTAGATTTAACATGAATCAGGTGGAACCACCCAACTCTGTAGATCAACGGGATCGGAACCCATCTAGTGGACACAAAATTAATCTGAGGGGTCAAAAACTGATCAAATGAGACATAAAAAGAAGGAAAAAACATGTTCTGCTATTCGTATATGTTGAATAGTTCTGCCTGTTCAGGTCAGTCAAAACGATTGGGAACTATTGAGAACGGACCCGTTTCTTGTGTTTCCTTCAGTTTATATCTAGATCTCATACAGTTTTGACAATCCAGTGCCAAGATTTAACTTTCTATTCACCTTAGCTGAAGTATTCTGCTAGCTTTTTTATTGTTAAAGCAGAAGGCTTGGTGTGCTTTGTGCTTTGAAGACTAAAATATGTACTTACATTCATTGAAACCATATTCAAACTCCTCCAGCGTTTTTGGGAATGTGAAAGGAGGTTCATCTTTCTTCATCAGTTCATCTAAGTCTATTCTTGACAGCAAATCTGAGGAGAGACAGAAAAGATAAGAGCAAAAATTAGTGACAAAAATGCCAAAGTCAAGATTTCATGTCATAAACTCAACCACAGCATCATAACTTAATATCCAGCATCATCATCTACATCTATATCATCTACATTATAATTTTACAAAGTCTGTGTTATGAAGCAAAACCAACTGCTATACAAAGGTCCTCCCCACTCACCTAAACTAAAGCCACTCATCTTCAAGTGGCACAGTCAGTGGAAAAGAGGATATTCCCATCAAGTAATAACCAAAATATCTATCAACATTTTTCTGCAAATTCTATTACTGAATAATTCTTTACAAGAATGATACAAAATGGTCTGTTAAAATGGTTGGTGAATATACTTGACTCAAGGTTAAGAGAAATATTTGCTCTCCTATGTCGTTTACTCCAGCTAAAAGTCTAAATATGAACTGATAGATAAAGTGTTCAGTTCATGGGACAAAAAGAATTAAGATATCTCTCATTTAGAGTCAGATCAGCCACATAACTTTTAAAAGGCATACAATCACAAATCAGAGGGAGATGGATGGCACATTCCTTTATAACAACGTGAGCCAAATTCAGTGTTTCTGCCACATTTATTTAGCTGTGACTTCTGCACAATATGTTGTATTTCACATTTTCACAATGCCACCTATCATTTTCACTCTAGTCTGGTGTAACCTCACAGGAACTGCACGTTCTTTCCTGTACTTTTTTCGAGACTGTGGGAACACTTTTCCGTCAGGGACAAGTAGGCTGGACATCATCAGTGATAGAAAACCACAGTCCGTATGAATTTGCGTGTGTCGTACCGGACAGTTCAGGGATGTTGGCATGTCAAGGAAAGTCTGTTTAAATGGAGCAACGCATTTGTCTTTTTGTTTGAGGTGATGCAAGTGACAGCTTTGAAATGATGAGACAGCAAATGAAAGAGAAAAATACATTTAAATACATTTAAAAAATAGACATAACCAGCAAGATGTTGAAATTGTAAGTTAGGTCCATCATAGCTGTGTCTGTGTGCCCATGTAGGTTGCAATCAGTATTTTATTTCATATTTTCATATCCATTGAGCAGATTTTCTTCTCTTTTGCTTTCATTTTCAGGATAAGTACCATGTCATATTTACCTTTGAGTGCAGTAGTCTTCTCTCTGTCCTCCTGGCCAGCTATCTGGGCCATAGTGATCCACAATATGTACAATGCTGGTGTGGCAGCACGAAGATGAGAAAGCATGGGTCCTCCTCTCCCAAAGATCACTGAGATGCATCCTGTGACATGTGGGAATTGAAAAGGAGAAAACTAAGAACTGGAAATCATCATAGCTGGAACACATGTACTGTGTTGTATCATAAAATAGCATTCCTGTATCTGTCAGACAATTAATCCCTTCTTCATTTACCAAAGATCATAAAGGTAATTGTCTCAAAGCTTGTTGCACCTGCAAGATGGCAGTAAGCCAAAACATTACAACCTACCGTTGTATCCTACTCTCAAGCACAGGCTACAAACTTATAGCTTAACGCTTCTGAATAAAATGGAGGAGTTGTAATTTACGCTGCAATAACACACTGCATAAACAGCTAACTACAACTATTTGCCAACATTATTGCTATGAAACATGTAACTGTGAGTACGGCAGCCGCCTTGGGTTCGCTCAACTTTGCACACACGTGCTGCAAGTGAATTAATTATGCAAACATAGCAAAGTTATTCCGGCTTTGAAAGCACGCTGCAGGCGGTAAAAAAAACCCAAAAAAAACAGTCATTTTCACACGCTTAGCTGACTCAGACTGCTCTGTCATCTTCTCACCGACAGTCAACATCTGTTTAATGTTTCGTACTCTTTAAAAACAACTCCCGGAATGTGTGCAGTCGCTCTACGTGGAGTCACTGAAAGCAGGTAACTGTACAGTGCTTTTATTTCACATTCGTTTCAACCAAACCAGACACAGAGTTTCGGAGAGGAGCAGATGTTTACAGTAGATGCAGGCATGCTTTTTGTTCGACTCACGCACCATCAGTGTATGCGACTGTCCAGTTGCTGCTGCTTCCTTGAAATTTCTAAAACAGGAAGGACTCTGAGCAGCGCTGAGCGTGGAGAGCGTGAAGCTTCCGGGTTACCGGGGCAACGGACTGGAAGGGATATTTAAAGGAACAGTAGCACAGCAGCTGCTCCAGGTTATACAGATGTTTTCGCTTGTGTGTCATATGTACCACTCTGCTTTGTCTACCATGGCATGTATCCAAGGTACATTTGTACTTAAATACTATTTCGAGGTACTTTACTCGAGTTTTTCCATTTTCTGCTACTGTATATTTCTGCTCCACTGTTCTGAGCGCTTCTATGTCACAGCTGGTGTGTAGTTATTAGATCATTTAGATGCTATGCGAATAATGATTTTACACGTAAAGCATTATGATCTTATTGAATATGATGCATTGTTTTATATTAAACTAAGCAACACTATATAAAATTACATTTAACGGCCCCATGACAATATTTAAATGTTTCTGACGCTAATGCACTAGTAATACTATTCCAGTGATATATATAATATAGGATACATTTATATAATAATAAGTGCTCTTTTTACTTTTGATACTTTTACTACAGTTTACTATTATTATTATTATTTTAGATATTTGTTGGCACATAATACAGTTAATGTACACTCACATATATACAAACACACTTTTACCTACATATACTCAGATATACATGAAACAGATTTAAACAAGAGCTTGTGCAGGAGAGGTAGGAAGCGAAAAGCTTTGCAAAGACCTCTCTTAAAAACTCAGAAACAGAATTACACTTAATAATAGAATAGGAGATAGAAAGAGTACTACAAAATAAAGAAAAACAGAAAAAAATAAGAGAAATAGAAAAGAAAAATGTAGTATCTGAAATGCATCTGAATAGTTTACCACATTACCTGAACATAAAGGAAGACGTTCCAGTAATGTGAAATACTGATAATAATATTTTTACTTGAATACCTGCTTCATTTTAAGATTGTATAAAGTAAGAATAAATACATAAATATATAATAAAGTTTAATACACTGTTAGAAATGGGGCACCGGATTGTGCATGTGTGAGTTACTAACATTTTTGCATACATGTCTTTTTTCATTGAACTTAAGCTTATCACTTAGTCTAAAATGTGTTCATAACACATCATTCAATTTTATGTTAATTTCATAACACATTATTTGAAAAAATCTAAATCTAAATTAATGGCCTAAATTTGACAGCATTTGACACCAAACTGGTGTGGCCAGGCATTTTTTAGTGGTGGCAGCTGGCACCCCATGCCACCTCTTTAGATCCGCCCCTGTCTTTTTGATTCTCCACTAAGTGGTCAGCACTGTCTTCACAGTTTGTCAGAGTGACAAGGATAAGAGCATGTTACTTTAAAAGGCAAAGAGAAAACATAATTTGATTGGTGTCATGGTTGAAACTACAGTAGACCTGCCAGACTTACTCATACGGTGCCACGGGTAACTTACCAAAAACCACCTGCCACACCCTGTTCACCATCATGAACCTGTGACTGTGCTTTATGATATGTGCTTTTTGATTCACAGAAACTGCCTCCTGGTTAAACTAAAGCTGGATGCCCTACTTCTGGACGGCCTCTAGAAGTGGAAGCTGTTTCTCAGGGGAGCTGAGCTACCCTGTTTCCTCAAGCAGTAAAAGCTGCAAAGGGAGACCCAAATAAGAACATGACATATTGTGTCATTGATATCTGAATTTGGTAAGGAGATACATCTTGCTCAATCAATTTCCTAAGACTTGACTTGACAAATTTACAAACGTCTCGCAAAACCAGTGACTGGTCAGTTCACTTGGACTTCAAATACTTTATACCCTCTCACACCAATGCCAGGGTTGGCCCACAGCAGAGCAGACATTCAGGCCAATATTCAAACGGTAGACCCACTTGAAGCTTAGTATGACTTGATGTGCTTTTGAAGTGATTATTGTAACTTTATGGCAGGACTTTTCATGTTACTATGAAATTCAAAATTGGAGTGATTCCTCATTGCATAAAAACACATTTTATAGGATGTACTGTATAAACAATATTGTTGTGTGTTGTGTTGTGGAGTTTTGGTGTACACCAGAGTATGGCTGCCCATTTGTTACTTTAAGTTTAGAAAAGTAGTATCATCTTTGATTTGTTCATTTGATATAGTTAATTAATTAATAATTGCCTTGTTGCTGTATTTTTAATTTAGTGACAAATGCATTAAGACTTGTTTGTAACTTGAAAGCCAAATAATAAGGAATTGGGGCTTGAGGTGAAAATTAAATGAAACCAGGGAGCTCTAGCAGAACGAAGGTCTTCCTATAATGTTTCCATGTTGGCTCACTACATGCTGACACAAAGATTGTTGTACTCAATGGATGAACATACAAATAAAACCAACATGTTTCTGCTGTGAGAGTTTGCTGTGGATAATGCACTGATATACTGAGGGTAATCAATTGAAATGTAAATCCGAGGAGTCAAGATGCTGTGACTGTTTATCCTGCATAAATATGTCATGATGAGCTCCGGGATTCTAAAATGTTTATGTAGGTTTGATAATCCCTGAATGAATACTGTTTAATAGAAAATTCAGTTTATTCTTTGTTATGAATCATTCTTTGTAATGATTTGTTGTGAATTATACTGCCAGCTGTGTTCTGAGTCTATCACCCAATGGAAATACAAATGGATAACCCTACAGTTACTTACTTTAGGCAAGAGGGCGAGGGAGAATGAAAGAGAGCAAATAATTTTTTTTCACAGAAAACAGTTATCTTAGAAGAATAATTTGGCACCTCTACCAGGTGAGCTATCAGGGCACCCCAAGCCAAGGACTGTTTTTCTGCAACACTAAAATAAAATAGTTCTATTGTTACTTTAAACACAGTTCATTTAGAAAGACTAATTTGTTGCCTTTTTGCCTTTATTCAGAGTAAAAAGGTACAATTCAGTTGCTGAACATTTTATTGTCTTTTGTGTTCCCTAAGTGGTTTGGTGATCGCAATCTTGCTACATTTGCATTGAAAATCTAGTTAAGGAAAGGAACATCTCTCTCTGGAGCAGGAACTGTTTTTCTCCTCTCTCAAAGGGATCACACAGGGTGTGCAGTAGCCTTTGTGAGCTGAATTTATATTCTTGTTGATAAAAAGAGCACCATTTGAGTTGTTTAATGTTTATTTGAACATCAAATATAAAAGAGAAGAACATCTAATGTATGTATTCAAAAACGTAATGCTAACTTTATGTCATAAATCATCATAAATTATTGACTGCACAGAGATCAAATAAATTGATCATATGACAGAAGAAGCATATTTAGTAGTGAAGTAAGAATATCATTTTATTTTCATGTTTAATTCTAAAACATTCTATCTCATAAATAACAAAATATGGACAATCTTGGAAAAATATACTGAGCAATCGTATTACACATAAAATAAATGTTTTCTCAGTTTGCACAAAATGCTCACTGATATTACATAGTGGGGCAGATTTTTGGGACACACTGTAATCAAAACATACATCATCTTGCTTCCCAACCGTAATATTTGATGTTTGCTTTCAGGAACCAGGAGAAACTATGCTGACACCAATGTCTTTACATTCACTGTCTCAAAAAAAAAAACTTCAACTACCAACAGTGATCACACAGTCCCATCTTGTCCCAGGCAAACAAATCCAGGCTCTCTATTTCCCAGAACTGATTTCTGGAGATGTGCTCCAAAAAGATGAAATGCGTCTGATGCAGCATAGAAAAGCACAGAGAGTTTGTCTGAGGCATGTGCATAAAGACGCATCGTCTCCCTCACTCTTTTTGTTGTTCCACAGTTTCTTGTCCGCTCTCTCACTCATGTTCTCATGCACAAACATATGCAAACTTGGTGCATTCAGTGCATGCACAAACCCAATTACACCCCCAAATGTGCACACACCCACACATACACACACTCTACTACCTTGAGAGGTGCAAGTATTACAAGCAAACATTTACAACGTGATAAAAATTCCAACAGCGTGGCCTGTTATTGGGCAGCACTCTTATCGGATGGTTGTGTTTCCCCCTGGGTCTGCTTTGCCACTGTCTCATCAGCTTCAGGAGGGTCCTGCAGTCCCGGTCTGCAGCAGCAAACAAAATGTGCTTTCTGAAGTTCCTCTATCATAGATTTCTCTCCATCTTCGAGCTCTGCCTCCTCCTGCATCTCCCACCTGGAAAGCACAGAAGCACAGAAACACAGAACATCTGTTTTAACACCAACAAACATTTGTCACTCAGGGTTAAATGAAAACACAGCAGAATGTACTAAATGTATCATCTACAAGTTCTGTTGGTGTATGAAGATTGTGTCAACATACAAAATGAGCACACCAACAACATTCTGTGTGCCCCTCTATTTGTGTCTCACAGAATAAGAAAGGACCCCACAGCCTGCAGTAACCCGCTGTCCAAAATACATTCTCTCACACACACTGCACACTGAAACTCTTCAAGGCTCTACACGCCACACTTTCACTTTTTAAGTTCTCACATGGGAGTTTTCTCTTTCTTTTTTCATGCTGTGCAGGTCAATTTCACAGCATGCTGTGCTGCTGTGATATACTATCAGACTTACAGTTTTTCACTCATGCATACACACACTTACAGACTTGCAAGCACCCACCACACATAATGTAAGACTCAAAGGATGTTATACAGAACATTAAAACACAAAAAAAGTAAAACAAAGGAGAATCTATGCTTCTGGCTCGCTGTATATTTCTACGCGTCTTCCCTTGTCTGTCAATCTGATGTTTACTGTGGCTAAGTCATGGTATGACAACTGTTGAACACATACGAACCCCTTTGGGTGACTGGTTTCTAGCATGAAGGAAATTGCTCCTCTATATCTTGTTGCTTCTCCATCTTGTTTAACTGCTTCCACAATATGTCTCTCAATGACATTTCCTAATTCTTCAAGCTAAGAGAGTGGATGGAGGACTTCAATATGAAGACATCAAGGGTAGTCACGTTGTAATTCACTCCTTGTATTTCAATGGAATCTCTTGACAAGTGACTGTGGTCAATCAAATCCATATGGAGAGCTGGCGGAAGGCTGTCTTTGAGCTGCCGCATCACACTCCCTCCGAAGTAGAATTATATCTGTCTGACTGCAAATGATTGCATTTTCATTGCAATCCCTGAGTCTCCTTTTATCCTGCCCCCCCCGCCCCCCTTCGATTCCTCGCTATATCTTCAAACATGTACCATATAGTTGTGCTCTGTGCATGCGTGTGAGGCGTACATGTGTGTAAGGAGGAAAAAACCAAGTATATCACATATGTGTTGCATACTAAGAAGCGGAACTCTCAGTGCAGAGCACTTTGATGAAGTTTCAGTCTGTGTCATAGTGTGTATCTGGACAAATCAGACATCCTCTTTCTCTGTTTCCCAACTACCATCAGTGTGGTAATTACCATCTGAAAGGGGAGGATCTGTTTATGTAAATATGCAGCTTTGACGGAAAGGTTTCCTCTCATGTGACTGCATTCTTCCTCCACACACAACTTTATTTACAAATTTTTCTCTTTATCTGGGTAATTTTTGTGTCAGTCTGGATCTCTCTTTTTACATCTATAACAGAGTGAGTGGACTGTCTCTCAAAAAAGACAGAACAAAGGCAGAAATAGTTAAGTCTGCCTTTGATGACTGCTGTAGACCCTGTTGGAAGAATGCAGATGACTGCCAGGGGCAGACAAATTGCCCCTATATTATTTTTTTTTCAGTGACATAAAATCAAAATCAGTTCCGCTAAATAACCATTATGGGATACAAACACTCACACAAACAAAACAATACAAATGTCACACAGCGTGCAAAACAAGAGCAGGAAGGGAGTGAGGGAGAACAGAAAGCTGGAGGAATGGTGGCCAATAAAGGAGGGAGCGAGAGAGGAAGGAAGACAGGAAGGTACGCTAAAGGTTTTTCAATGTTTAATTTTCAAATAGGATTAAGCAGAATGACATTTAGCTGAAGGTTACAGGCTCAGCATTGTCTTAGCTGATATTGATATGCAGGAGGCGCCCTGCTTGTCACCGGGACAAACACCGTTGATGAATGAGAAGCCTTTCCCCAGGAAGGTGTTAAGTGCAAATTTGAAATGAGAGAGAGGCAGAGGTAGAGAGAGAGAGAGAAAAAGAGAAGGCGCACACACAGACAGAGATTGAATTACAACGATAGTTGCCATGTATACTGTCACTAGATAATGTTACCAAAAGTGTAAATTGTTCCGTAAAGTATAGGTTGCATATTCGTTGAGATTGGCTGATCTCGTGCTGAAAATGAGCAGAAAAATACACAAGGTGCTTTGCTGTGTATATCTAATTTCAACAACTACAAATCAACAATGCCTCTTAGAAATGCATAAGTAGGCTAAAGTTGACAATAACTTCACTGTATCCTCATTTCGGCAAGTTTTCCCCCGGAATTTACATCTTAATAAGGGGAGTCTTACCCTTTAATTCTTATGGGCTCTGCTCATTTCTCATGCATTAATACTGGAGCTGCTGACTTGGCTCTTCCTCTGAATACAGAATAGGACACACATATTAAGACTCATATATTTACAGGATTGATGCCACGGGAGATTGTCTCAGAGTGAGATGAAAAGGCTGGCTCAGATGTATTTCAATGGGAACATCAATGTAAGCTGTCCTAATCATGGGACGATGCAGGCACAAGACAGAGAGCATCTATCCTGATTTTCAGCTGATAATGAGTAGTGATGTTTGACAAATTAAGAGCATAAGCCCCGCTCAGAGATCATCCGGCAATCAACTTACTTACTAAATCTTACTCAAAAAACACAGCAGATGAAACTTTGATCATCGACTTTAGCAGCTCCCAGTGACAAAGAATAAAACAAACTCTGATAGACAAAAAGTATTGACATGGAGTGTGGAAAAGAAAGAAAGAACGAAAAAAAGAACAGCAGCGAAATTCAGAGGTACAAGTATAGACCATGTGAAAGAAAGTGAGTGAGCAGGAAGACAAAGTGCTTGAAAGATCATGAGAGACAGTGGCCAGTGGTTTCCTCTGCAGCTGTCAGTGGGCTGAGTGGTTTCTCTCAGAGTGTTGGGTGTTTGTGCTGCGCTGGGTGCCCTGCCTGCTCTGCCACTGGGACCGCTGTTTGTTTAAAAGGCTCGCCTGTCAAACAGAGAGCGCCACGACAGCCAGACACTCAGCTAAATGACTCTGACAGCGGCCCTAATCAGAGGCTTTGCACATTGCCGCAGGGCCTGGAGGATCCATCATAACCCAAGCCTAAATATTTAAAGTGCTAAACTTTCCAAAGGTCAGGCCTTTCCATGCATGCCAGGGCGACATGTGTCAG